GTGGCGAGAGGAGCAAGCGGTGGACGCTAGCCTGGTTTTCAGCCGGCTGATTTGAATCTTTTCCCCTACTGGACTAGCTACAATAATTTTATTATTATTACGAGGTTGAAGACTTGACACGTCTGCATTCTGCTCTGCTTGCGTTCTCAGCTAGTCTTTCGAGTTGCACCGTCGTGGGCTAGTTCGTGTACGAAACGTGCATGCTGCTCTAGCTTCTAGATCGATCGCAGCAATGAATCTTTGTCAACGTGATGGCGTTGAAGACGGGGAAGCTATTGGGACTCCACGTCCGCCGCCGCCGGCGCCACCATGATCGCGGCCGAGCAGAGCAATACTAGAGCTAGAGCTGCCATATTACAGCCTATGTTTTCTTGGGGTATCTTTGCAGGTTGCAGCTTATGTTGATACGTATGTCTCTTGTGTATCTGCGTGTGATTGGATATTCGGATAGAAACATGCACATTGAGACGGCTTTTATAGAGGATAAATCTAACGGGATTGCTAAATCGACCGAGACTTAACAAAGTTTAGTTGATACCATATCCATGAGATCTTAGGTGGACATCCGTGCAAAATTTTATTTTATTTTTTTTCTCTTGTTTTCTATATGTTGTATAAGTTGATCGAGACTTGATTAAGTTTCACTGGACTGAGATCTAGCCACATCCTAAACATATATATGCTGACAAATTCAAAAAAGGATAGCAGAAGTAGTATACTAGTCAAACATAGAGAAGAAAGGTCAACGTAAGGCCAGGTCAAAGCTAGCAAGACACATCTGAATTCCCTGCTGAAGGGGGCGATGTACACAGTCGTGAAGATATGATCAACCAAGATATACACTGGGCTAGCTACGAGGTCGAAGACTCGACACGGATGCATCCTGTCCTGCTGGCGTTGTACTACCTGGTACTATTTCGAGTAGAAAACGTCTCAAGCGATGGATCTGACCAACGGATTGTGATGCATGCGTGCCGTGGTTGCCTGGAAATCTCCAAACCCCTAGAGAATGGAGAGGGACTGAGGGAGCTTTTGCTACATCTACGGGTTGGTACCGGTGTATTTTAGGTAATTGGTGGGAATTATTCCGGTCAAACCCTTAAATCTTCACATATTCCAAAACACCGTTTGATTCTAGTGTATTTGACATGTTTCATCCCTATATTTACCCACATATCCTCAAACTCTAGTGCATTTTTCTCAATACTCAATACACTATCCCTACCTAGTGGATTGGGGATAAGTAGGGATTTTAAGGGATTGGGTGAAGGTTGTAGGCCTTGTTTGGTACTAGGGTTTTTGAAGGGATTGGTGGGGATAATCCCCACATGGATAGGGTGAAACCCCAACCTTCATCCAATCCCTTAAAATCCCCATTTATCCCCAATCCACTAAGTAGAGGCAGTGTATTGGGTATTGAGGAAAATGCACTAGAGTTTGCGAATATATGGGGATGAAATATGTCAAATACACTAGAACCAAATAGTGTTTTGGGATATGTTGGTATTTAGGGGTTTGACCGGGATAATCCCCACCAATTCCTTAAAATACACTAGTACCAAAAAAGGCCTTTAAGGGACCATGTGTCCTCATCTAATTTAGTGTGCACACCCTGAATTTCACGCGGGAGTCCCAAATCCCGCAAATTCATTGTAGACGTAACATCTCTCAAGGCTGGGAGCCCGAATTTGCTGCCCAAACGCACACGCACTTACCCACTGGACGGCCAGAACACTGTAGCTAATGCGTTTTTTCGGTTCACTACTGGTTCACTTTTTCATGTTTTTCTTTGTTTTTTCACAATAGTTTTCTAAAAAGATAAAAAGATAGTTTTATTGAAGATTTTCTAAAATTTGAGGAATCAATTCTTGAAAAACTCATAAAAAATGAGAGAATGTGGGCACTTTTGGAAAAATGTGAACATTTTTTGGAAATCCTGAACATTTTTTTAAACTCCGATTTGCTTTGGGAAAATGCTATTTCAAAAAAAACATGAACATTTTAAAAATCCCAAAAGCATTTAAAATTTAGGACCATTTTCAAAAAAATTGAGAGAAAAATGCAGAAAGAATACAAAAATAGATGAAAATGAAAAAAGAAAAACATACATGAAAAAATCGGAGAAAAAACTTCTAAAAGCTTCCCAAACCGGTAAAGACAGGACATAACCTTCTAGAAAGTTCTTAAAATTGGACCCCTGTAGACAGGCGTAACAGCTAAATGGATTGCCCAGTGATTGCTACCGTCACTCATGTGCGTGATTGCCTGGCTATCAGTCACAAATAGGAACTGACAGAGAGGCCCACCCCTTGAAATCCATGGGAGAGTGATGAGGCAGGTCTAGAGTTCACCTTTGTAATTCACCCGTTAGGTCACGCTTGGCATCGGTGTATTTTAAATACGCAGGTCTGATATCTACAGGTGTAACTTACCGGGCCAGTAGCGATTTCCCGCTGGAAGCGAAACGACGTCCGGAGGCGTGTATTGTTTGCAGGTGTATTGCTAAGCAAAACGACAATCCAAACATGGCCTTAGGATTACTAGTGGGGGAGAGGCCTGGATTTGGTCAATGATTATGCTTCGTACCTCACTAAACTACATGTCCCACAGTACAATTCTTTCAAAAATCCATAAGCAGTTGACAAGACCATTCGGTAATGTAATCCCTATAACTATTTTGTTAATTCAAGATTCACCACTTTACCCAAGTTTATGTAAGAAGTGCATCAACGATGCTAAATTAATATCATTAGATGCATCATGAGACATGTTTATTCTATTTGTTTTTATTATTAATTTGATATTTTTTCTCAATAAATTTGGTCAAATTCTACGTGGTTTGACTTAAAAAATCTATATGCGCTATATTATGAAATGAAGGGAGTATTTATTTATTTGTTTTCCTTTTAGGGTTTTCTAAATATTTTCTCTTGGCCAAATATTAAGAATTAGCTCTAAGTTACACTTTTTCTCTCTCCAATGTTCACTCTTTCTTTCTATGTGTTTCACTGTTTCTTCTTCTACATTACATGTTTTTCTGAAATTGACATTATGCATGATGCTCTTGGGCGCCAAAGTTAGCGCCTATTTTAAAAAAATCTTAATAATGAGTACATGCTTCTATATTTGTCCAATGCACCTTAAACTTCTCACATTTTATGAAAATATGCGTATCTGCGGAGTAGACTTGCGAATCTCCAAACTTTCATCCAACAATGTTACCATTTGGTGACATGCAAAGAAACATAACAAAAACCTATTCCAATATGACTACACTAAAAAATCTTGTGCATATATGAAATAAATCCGCATTTTATTAAGGCTTGTAGATCTACATGTTATAACATACTGCAATGCATGGATATGTTCATAATTGTTTTGAGAACTTTGAGGTGTCTCGAAAGGAGACAAGAACATACGCTCTTAAGAACCAAACATAGTTTTGCGTGGAAATTTTGGGCCATTAACCAGAATAATCTAAAAAAGAAACTATGTGAGTTGTTTGGGCGAACCGGGACTTTTTAAATTATGAGTTATTTAGTAGAAGATATTTATGAGCCAAAAAAACACTAGCCACAAGGTACCCGCTCTCGGAGACACAAATCAATGCACTTCCCGCATGATGTGCATGCGGAACAAATCATCTAAGTTTTTCGGATTTTATAGGCACACTTTCCTCTTTTGTATTTATAACTTTATTATTTTTGCACACATGGTGCATTGTATACATATTTATACATATTTTTCACAATATGGAATTGGGCAAGAAAATTTCTTAGAAAGCATGGAAAACAACTTTTTAGGCCGCGAACTATTGTATCAGTTCACAATACATTTGTTGCTTATATTCTTGTGGGGCACAATTGTTTTCTTTTTGAGCAAACAAGGAAAATAGTAAATCCTATTCCCCTCTTATTACGGTGAATACTGAGGCTACACATACGCCCAATATGCAGCATTCCCTTTTTTTTCTTGTCTTCTCATATATTTTCATTACCATTTTGATTTGTTTTATTTGCAGGTTTACTTATTTTGCATTTGGACTTTTCTATTTTCCTTTCTTTGTAGTTTCCTTCTTTTTTAATTTTTCTAATACATTATTGTTTTGCTTGTTTAGTTTTACTTATTTATGATTCATGTTTTTATTATTTTCATCAATTTTATTGTCAATGCTGAACTTTTCGTTTTGGATACACAAATATTTCTGTTGGAAAGCATTATTCATTATTTTTTTAATGAAGAGACCTTTTTTTGAATACATGCAATTCTGTTGGAAAGCATTGAAAGTAATACATATTTTTGTGTCGGGCTACACGAACGTTTTTCACAAATCGCGTGAACATATGAACATTTATTCAGTACATGTGAACAGTTCTACCAAACTCTATGTAAAAATACGACCTATTTTTCTAGGCATATGTAATTAATTTTCTTTAGTAAATTTCTTATGTATATACAGTTAAATGTGAGTTTTCAATCATGTTGATGTCTTTACTTTAATGAAAGAATGTCTATTTAACAAAGTATAACATTTTTAGGGAAATTAAAATTTCTGATAGACTTAGGTTAGTTAACATTTTCTTTGAAAAATTTAGGGTAATTAGCAAAGTATAGGAAAAAAAAACTAAAACACATCAAATGGGCCCTATATGATTTCGGAGAAAAAAATGGCCTAGCACTAGAAAGGCCCAGCCGTGACCTTCCGTTTCGTTTATCTCTCCTTATCCCATCCAATCCATAATCTCCCACACTTCACAAATCCCCACCAATCGAACACACACTCCTCCCGGCTCCCTCCAATGGCGCTCCTCACCGTCCAGGGCATGGCCATGTCCACGGCCGCCTTCGCCTCCCACCACCACGGCGCCGTATCCTCCTCCTCCTTCGGGCTCTCAGCCGCCGTATCTTTCTCCCGCTCCCGCACCAACCTCGCCGTCACCGCCGTCTCGGCTCCTCTCACATCAGTTCTTGATGGTAAATTAACTCGTCCTTTCTCTCTTACTTACGGAGGCTGAATTTGTTTCGGTAGTTTGTTCTAATGTTGGACAGTTCGTTAGGGGAACTCTTCTCCCGACTGACCAAGTAGAAATCCAAGAAGTTAGTTGGGAATGCCATGGATATTAGTGTGAAACACAGAGGGAGCTGAATTTTGCTTAGAAAGAAGGAAACAATAAACAAACTTCTCATAGAAAGAATTAAGGATGGCATATGTTGAATATCGGGTGACCGTTGAACTTTGAACCAATTGTGACCTCAAAATTGTCTCTGCCGTGACCAGTCTACTGTGGAAGAGGGGACAGAAAGACAAAGAGAGGCAAAAGGTTCAGCCACTCATATGGGAATGTGAGTCCTCTAGCACAATCTCAAACTGATGTGTTTGTTGTGATTCTTATCTCTCTGTATCGTCATGTTAGGCACGGCCCCGTAACAAGAACAAGGGAACAGGCCCAGCACGGCTTTACGCCCCTCCAGCGCCTCCTAGGAAGGATCAGTTTGAGGACGGGGAGATCATCGCAATTGAGATTGATGATGACATCATGGAAAGGATGGATTAGGATGTCTGAATTTTCCCTTATTTCATGATTTCTGAAATACAATGCCCTGGGAGTAATTATTTTGCCATTATCCTATGTGAAGTGCAATTTCTTAGAAGTAATTATTTGGTCTTTCGGGACAAAACACAGATGCCTATGTGCTTTCGATTGCTTAGGCTGTATCACTGTATGCATAGGGAACCTGGCACCTATGTTGTCTAGCTCTACCGATGAGCCGGCCAGTGCTTCTAAAATATGTCTGTTTTTTCTCACCTTCTCTGTTACATTCCGTGTGACTCCTGAATTAAGTTTTAGTTATTCCAGCTGAGTATTTTTGGGACGAAAATAATTAAATATCTATAGGTTCTTGTCTAAGCTGTTAATCTTTTTTTAATGGATATCTAAATTATTTGCTTCAGTCTGCACTTTTGCACATGTTGTGGTCATCCTGCATTGCCAAGCAAGCATATGATGACTGAAGTGGATGATAAGAGTGTCAGTAGTGTTGTCTACCTCTTGTCTATGGTATGTTTTGTAGCAAAGCACTTGCCTGCCTGTTTTACAAGTTGCCTCCTTTTTTTTATTCAAACAATGTTTTGACTCTTTTGAAAGGATTGCAAGTTATTACCTGCCCAAAACTGTGAAATAGGACCCCCAAAATCGTTCAAAACAAGAGCGTGTAGCTCTGGAATCAAGATCAAAGTTCTTCACCTCTGTTTTTTTGGCAGCATGGTCTTTTATCGATCACAAAACAATAGGTTGAAGAGAAAATAAGAGTGAATGATCTGAATCTTCTTTCCTGGACTGCACAAGGTGGCATGTACAGCATCCTACATTCCTGCTGTCGGATGCACCTTGAACAATCTGTAAACTACGCTACTTCCTCCGTCCGGAATTAGTTGACGCTCAAACGGATGTATCTAGACATAGGGAGTACATTTTAACTCGTGTAGTTCACGAATATATATGGATTAAAACCATGTCAATAAATTTGAGCTTGTTTTTCGCGTTGCACGTGTGATGCACGAATTGCTGGTGCTCTACCTGATTCCATCTGAATACCAACTTAACATTTTGGGAATCAAATAGGGCCCAGAAGTTATGACATAAATCTGGCAAATTACTCTGCACACGGCCGTCACCTTTCGCGCTGACAGGCTCCAAGGCAGTCTTTCTGGCGATCCTTTCCATCCTCGCATCCATTTCAGGCCAGGATGCGAGGAGAGCTGTGCTCGCTGTTGGCTTATCTGATTTGCTTACGTATCTTGGAGTGGATGGAGAAGAAAATTGAACACGGTGACCCCGTGAGGATGCGCGTAACGGATTACCACATGGGAGTGACAAAAACAGATGCCCACCTGACCTCACTAGTGATGTCAACGAGAAAGCATCCTCCTCAACCACCCTGCTTCCAAGTTCCAATTTGTCGCAAGAGCTACTTTGCCGTTTAAAAAAAAAAACGGCCACAATCTATTTTACCATGGCCGCACTTCATTAGTTGTCACCTGTAAATTCTTACACGAACACTGTATGTACAGCAGCACAGAAGAACTCACTGCAGGGTGCATATTCTGCAGTATACAGGTATCTTACAGGCTTGTGATGGTCTGGTACCTAAGTAACTACTACTCCATGCACATACGAGCTACAACTACAAGACGACATCGAATTGCACCATCGGGGTCGCCGTCTTGCTGCCGATGAACCGCTCCGACTGCGCCCTGCGCAGCGCGCTCGGGCCGGGGACGACCGGGGACGACCCCGCCTCCGGGCTGCCGCCGCTCTCCTCCGGGATGGACGTCAGCGCCCCGGACCACGGCGACCCCGTGCCGCTGTAGCCGCCGTGGCCGTACCCCTCGTACGCCCGGTAGCGGTCGTGTCTCGCCCCGCGCGCCGACGCCAGCCGCAGCACCTTGGAGAAGAGCCTCCGGAGCAGGGCGGGGAGCCGCCTCGCGCGCTTCCTGCGGCCGGCTGGCTGAACGGCCGGGCTGGCGGCGGGGAGGTGCGGCATTGAGAGCGAGCGGCCGGCGAGCACGGCGGCGTCGAGCTGGCGCTTGAAGGCGGTGAGCTCGTACGAGTCGTAGAGCGCGCTGCCGCAGTCCCACAGCACGAGCGCGGCACCAGCAGCACCACCACTGTCATCTGCGGACTCGTGATCGGCTTGGATATGCCTCGCCATCTTTATAGCTTTCCCTTTTTTGCTTCGATCAAAGCAGCAAGAAATGGATGAGAGAGGGAAGGAGAGAGGGGCTGGCTCGCTTTACAAGTGGGTGGAGGCGGCATGAACGCGCGGTGTGCAGCGTGTGATAAAGGGGGCGGACGAGCTCACGGCTCACACGACACGATCGACCTCCGTCTCCACTTGCGGCCGATCGACGTGAGTGAAAAAGGAGATGGTGATCCAAAGGTGGATGTGGGAGTGGGACGCGCTCTTTGTGGGGGATTGATTAGGTGTAAACGCATACGCTTATCTGTCGCACAGTAAGCAGTTAATTTACTTGAGAGGCTCGACCATTAAACTTTGGATCATAATTTCCATGGAAGACCTGACGATCGAGGCGTACGTGGATATATCATATATGGACGCTTGTTTTGTTTATTGTTAGAAGGAGATCATGTCCACGTCTGTAGATCAGAGCCCAACAACTGCCTACAGAACATTTTGAACTTCAAACTTGCATGTCTTTCAGAGAGCAACAGCGGATAAAAATATTCCATACAAATGTATTTTTTCTCGACGCATTTAAACATTATTGGAGGAGCGCAAGCGGAATCAGACAAGGATGGATCAGAGATCTTATCATCCATGTAACGGATGAATTATTCCACTCTAGGGAGTCAGGGAAACGATGTCGACGAACCCCCAAGTCACAAGAGCGATTCCGGCGCTTGTCCTGGATAGATCGAATAGCTTGCTTGGTAACGGACCAAACCTGCATAAACAAAAACACCCACCAAGAAAAGGAAGACACATCCTTATTTCTATTTTTCCGCCGGTCCTCACCTCAGGTGACCTCTCGAATTCCGTCTTGTAAGACCGATGTATTTCCGTTCTCAATAATGGAAATGGGATAGCCCGGTTCAAAAAAAGGAAAAAAAAAAGACCTCTCCAGTGCGAGGAGGCAGGGGAAGGCCTGATCAATGCTTGGAGAGTAGGATTAAGGGGTTTTCACCGTTATGTTTATATGTGCACTTTAGCTTTATGTGAGTTGCATGTTTTTTAAATTTTGGTAAGTCCTTCTAACAGTTCGTTCTTTTGTTAATATTTGTGCTGTCATTTTTTCTCTTGCGTTGTCTCGTGGCTTCTTAGGCTGAATTTTTAACTTGCCCCTGTTCCGGGTCTATCAATTTTGTCAAGGTCTTCTTAGGAAACTTCGATATTTTAATTTGTTTTAGTTTTTTATTTCATTTCTTCTTCTTCTTTTAAGGGCAATACCAAGGCATTTGTTCTTAAAGTTTTTCTTATGGGTGTGCCTTTTTATGTTGTTATTGTGTTCGGGCTGTAGGCTACTTCAGCCTAATTGATATTTTGGGCCTTCTGGTCATTTATGAGCAAATGCATGAGTTGGGCTATGTGAGCGAAATCGGTTGAATGCAAATTTTGGCCAGGTGATTTCTATTGTATATGGTTGTTCTGTGTCCGTTTGATCGGATTTCAAAGATTGATGACTAATCGACTAGCCCAAACTCTAAACTCAGGCATCTGTTCCATAATCGGTCCCTTAGATATGCATACCACCATCGTCTCATTGGTAAATTAATTGTCATTTGGCTTTAACTATCCCACCATAGCACAACCTTTGTTGTTGAAATCATAGAGCTACCGGTGTTTGGACCCTATCCATTCAACTATTACACCCCCTCTTAACTTTGGCAGTACTGTCTACTATATTGTATTTCAGGTTTCATTGTGCTCTTGGTCTTCTTCTCTAGATCCATAAAAGCAACAGTTCAGCTTCTTGCCTTGCAAGAGGTGTCTCCGTGGCGGTAGTGGTCGGAAGTTCTCGCCTATTAAGGTGTTTGGCTGATGCGACTCTTCAAAACCTTTGGGGTTTGTGCACGACTGACGTATTGTAAGAAACCCAAAGGGTATACGCCTATAACCATTACATAGACCGAACAAAATACACATATAAGCATACAGATCGAAATGACAAGTGAATGTGATCCTCTCATGTTCTTCCAGATGGATGAAAATTTGAGAGAATCAAGAATACCCATCAAGGTAAAAAAGAGAGTACTTGGAAAGCCTCTCAAACATTTGACCGATCAATGAAAGTGTGCAATGATCCTTGCGCATCTCTCTGTTAGATTTCATGTAATCAATACATATTCTATATCTAGTAATCATTCTAGTCAACATTGGTTCATTGTGTTTATTAGGAATAGTTGTAAAAACCTCCATTCTTAGAAACGCAATAAACTAGGCTTACCCATTTGCAATAGGACAAGGGAGAATAGTTACTGCCTCAAGTAGCCTAATTACCTATTTTCTTAACACTTCTTTCATTCCAGGACTCAGATGATGCTAATGCTTTATCATGAGCTTCACTCCGTTTATAAAAAAAATACATGAGCACACAATGAGGGGTCTATACCTTATTAGGTCAACCATGGAGTATTCAAATGCATGTCGATCCTCAATATATTCATAAGTTGACCCTACTCATGTGCTAAAAGTTAAGTGATACGTCTCCAACATATTTATAATTTATGAAGTATTCATGCTTTCATATTACCATTCTTGGATGTTTTACAATCATTTTATAGAAACTTTATATCATTTTTTGGGACTAACCTATTGACCCAGTGCCCAGTGCCAGTTGCTGTTTTTTGCTTGTCTTTTACATCGCAGGAAATCAATATAAAATGGAGTCCAAACACCACAAAACTTTTTGTGGAGTTTTTATGGGCCAGAAGACTACCAATG